GATCTGAGTAAAATTACAATTTCTATCAGAATCTGTTTTCATGTCTCCTGGTCATTCAATACATATACAGTAGGTTATGAAGTGTTATTTAAAGAGTTTGTCCCGAGTGGTTTCTTTTCAGTGAAAAGTCTGACTTAACATTGTATTTAAATTGTTTACTATTTTTTTGTTTCTTTTTAAATCAACTCCAATTAGCACCCATTACATCTGTTACATCTGTTTCTCATTACTGCTTATCTGATCGACCTGTTTACAGCTCCTTAATATGCTGTGTGTTTTCCAGCTACCAGTGCCAGATTATTCAAGCTGTTTTGTGTGAGTAACTTTAGCCTTCTGTTTGTTGTTCTGCTTATCTGATAGTGACCTGTTTCTGTCCAAGTTTAGTTTTGCTCTTGCCTGCGCTTTAATCTGCTCTGTTCTGGACTGATTCCTGGATTCAGCTGGCTCACCAAACTTGAACTGTTCTTCTGACATCGGCTTGGATTCCCCTTCTATACCTCACCGGCTCTCTGATCTTCTGGTCTGTGAACTTGGTTCTGCTACGACTTCGGCTTTGGACATTCCCTTCAGGACTCTGTTGCCCCTCTGCGTCGGCTGGCTTCAGCTCCACTCAGAAAAATGGTCAGTTACTATATACTCTTAATTATTATCAGCCCTTATTAGTCACTGACCTGAGTTTCTGTCCTCACATGTGATCCAGTTTATCCGCCCCAGCTGACAAGCAGCCACACGCTGAGAGTGTTCAATAAAGGCTTGTTTTGAACTATCCAGATCTGTCTGTTTTTGAATATTGGGTCAAAGGTTTTGAGCTTGCTACAGGACAGCTTGAATAATCTGGCACAGGTAGCTGGAAAATACAGCATATATAGGAGCTGAAAACAGGTGGATCAGATAAGCAGTAATAAGAAACTGGGCAGAGTTAAACAGGTCAGTGGAATGAGCAATTAGGCCAGCCACCAGTGCCAGGATGATAACACCCCGGTAGGGGTGGGAAAAATCTTATTTAATCAGATATTTTTTCGGCTGTTAAATATTGTTTATGAACACACAGCCCTACTAGCTGTGTGTTAGAAGAATAAATGAAAGAGTGTTTCGAGCACTAATCATGGTCAAACAGTTAATTATGCACATACATGGAATAAATTCACAACAACATCTATTCAAAATATAAGAGTTTATTAACAAAAATCATTCAGCTCCTAGTCAAACATGTTTCACTTTAACACTCTCAACTAAGACTAGTAAAACTTATATAAACTAAACTACTATGTACAAAGAGGAAGGGGAACATGGTTGAAAACCATATTACAGTTTAAGATGGATCTTGTGTTTGAAACCAAAGTTTATCTGGAAGAATTTGGGATTTGATCAAATTAGCTTTTCACTAATTTGGAGAAATTGGAATGTTTTCAGACCAATTTTCAATGCAAATCCATGAATATTTGGCCAAATATAGCTCTATTACTGTAAATGATTTGCTCAATCAGGAACCAGTAACATTTTGTTAAATGATTCTTTACCCTCTTTAAAATGGCTAGTAACGAATAGACATCAGGATTCCACTAAATGACTCTTGGTCATACTTGGTCATCGAAATGTAATGAGCATATGAGGAAAACATCAACACTAATGTAATATCAGTGTTTAGACCCTTTTTAAAATAAAGCTTGTCCAAGCTTCAACAACAACATCTCAACACAAGTTTCTGTATAGCATAGCATGCAGTCCATCCTGTTAGCCTTGTTCTTACTCATCATCAAAAGACATGTTTGTTCTGTCCCTATTCATGCCAGACCTGTAAACCTTTTTGTCCATTTCCATTTGGAAGGTTGAATTTCCATCCAGCTGGAGTTCAGCAGGCAGGCCACAGCAAGGCAGTCTCCCTCTCTGTCCCAGTGGCTCACAGCAGGGGTCCTCTTTGTCTCAGTGGTTAATCAAGGCAGGGTAGGCCTCTCACCCAGTCTGGCTCTACAATTTCTGAAACTCAAGAGAAATGTGTCGCAAAAGGTCTGTTTTGAAGCAATTTGGTTCTGAAATGTCCATGAAGACTTATCTTTGAGGACTCTGGAGATCCGGGTCTTCTGTTGCCCAGATCTCCATCCTGCCGGAGATGGACCCCAGCTTCGTGGCCAAGGGAGAGGTGGCAAAGAGAATATTGTTTTCTCTGTGGTTTTGTCTGCTCTCACAGAGAGGGAGGCTTGCAAGTCACACCTCTGTGGGAGGTCCTGTGGAGGCCTTGGCTGAAAAGGGGCGGGGGCCGCATGGGTCCTCCAGCTGTTATTCACCAAATCTGCGTGTCCCCCTCTGGTCATCAAGTCAAGATGAAATATGGACACTGGTTCCCAATGTCCAAAACCCTAATCATGGCATATGGCGCAACACAGGCAATCATGTTTTGAGTTTTTGTCACTTTATTTAAAGCAAGCGGGTACATAATCCAAAGGATAACTATAGCTCACAAATGATATAGATAATATGGAAACAACAAGAACATAAGTGTTTTAAAAAAGAAATGAAAGAAGCAGAATTCTTTTGTAAACTCTTTTAAAACCAGACAAAACATATTGTATTTTCTCTATCGATTTTATGTCACAAAACATTGATTTCTTAGAAATTCATTTTTGTGTATTTATATAAGTCATCCTACTACACTATAGCATCAAAGGACATTAAACAAAATGGGTTGAATTTATTTAGTTTATAATCCAAATCTACCAAACTCTAAGAATGTAATAAACAGAAGTTCAGTAGTAGATAATGGGGATGTGATTGAAAAGAAAAAAAAAAAATAAATTACAGCCTTTGTAAAAAATTATTTAATATCAATTGAAAGGTTAACTTTTTCTGCATTACAGACTATTTTATGTTATATTGCAATACAGTGTCTCTATTAGAAAGTTTTTCAAAGGAGAAATTAAAAAAAGTTGACTGATTGAAGAAGATATCTAATATATTATATTTATCATGTAATATATTAGAGAAAAATCCATCAGAGCCTCCAGCCTACATGTCAGCATTGTCCTCCAGAGCTGGTACTGATCTGGTCTCAGAATAAACTGCTGCATCCTCTGCTGCTGGACTTGACTTTCCTGTCAGTGAGAAGATATTTCTTAATAGAAAATGTCAAATCAATACGCTTAAAGCAGATTTTAAATACTGCAAAATTAGATGCATTAAATGCGAGGAGTGGCCGTCTGGTGATTAGGGCATAGAGCTTGGAATCCTGAGGTTTCTGAGTTTGAGCCCCACTCCCACAGACTGCCACTCTGGGTCTTTGAGCAAAGACCCTTATCCTCCACACTACTACCCAAGGGGATGGCTGAAATGTAGAGATTTAATTTCGTTGCTCTGTACTTGTAACAGTGTAATGACAATAAAGGCTAAAAAAAAAAGGAAAAAAAAAGACACCAAATTTGGTCTAGACACGTTTCGCTAGGTTGAGGCCAGTGTTTTTCATTGGAACACAAAGCAAAAGAAAAACAAAAGAAAAGAGCAATAGCAGACTGATTACCCTCAAAAATACATATAATTACTTCACTCTATATGCACATGTAGTGATTTTTTGATGTGCTGAATAAGAACATTTGCTAAACCTTCTTTAAAGGACACTAATGTCTAATTAGTTAGCTTGTAGATATTAACTAATAGAGATGATGATGAACTGAAATCTATACTGAGATGCAATCAGCTTTAGTGTAATGATGACATGAAATTGACTGTACCTGCAGCTCCTGTTTTCACTTCAGAGTAAACAGCGCCCTCCACTGGTGGTCTATGATGTCTACCTGTAAAGATCATCCAATATGATGGATAAAACCAATCAGTCAGTTTCTCATGTTTTATATTGTAGAAATGTGGGACTCCCTCTCTTTTTTAGAGGATTTTATTTCAATGATAGAGTATGTAACATCTCTGAGTTCATCTCCTGCTGAAATAATACAGATTTGTTATGATTTACTTGACTGTAAATGACACAATCGTATGCTTTAAAAGATAAACTGTATCATTTCCAGCATCTTCAGTAGAGTTAATTATGTGATAGAGATGAGCATCACCTATAGTTGATAAAAAAGACAAAAAATATGTATTTACTGAAAATTAACAAATGTAACTTTCAACAATTTACTTAAACCTTGCAAATCTGATATAGAGACCCTTCTTTGACATGAATACATCTAAACAGCACCAGCAGATTAATGAATCACCATTTGGGAAAAAGCTATAAAAATAAAAATACAAAAATCTGCTAGACATATAATATGTCCCATAAAATTACAACACCAATTCAATCATAACAGTGTGTGTACATCTTGTTTTATGCTTCTTAAATCAGACTAAACAGTTCAATCAAACATGTTTCTCTTTGGTAAAAATAGACTAATATTTATTGTTACTATTGGGAACTTGGCTGAACTCTTTCGTGGTTTTGGATCAGAGCATACAGAAAATGACAAAAACTACTGGCTCACAAAACCTAAGATCAAATCACTATAATGAGTATTTCATCAGAATCATGCTGGTACTAAATAGGCAGTTAAAAAAATTCTCTCTAGGACTGTACTTTTTTATGTTGCTGTATCCTTAAACATTTACACAGCTGGAGCCGTGATCACCAGCACAAAGTCACCAATGCGAACATTAAGCTACGATAGCAATACTGAGGTTGAAAAAAAAAACTAAATTGGTAAGAATGGGGTACAAATGAAGTTTGACCCTAAAGAAATAAGCTGTAGTTCTGACCTTCAGTCTGGTTTGTGTGGCTCTGACTCCTGCTCTCTGAGACCCAAGATCTAATAATTGATACAAACAGGTTATTAAGGAAAAGTCAATGAAATTAATATATGATGGGGAGAAAATCAAAATATGGTGAACTCACCTGATGCAGCACAGATCTGGAAAAGTATAATTGTTGTATTTTTTTTTATTATTATTATTTATACTGCCAGTTTTTTTTTTCACAGAAAAAGAAGTAATTTAGTGTTCATGAAAAGTTCTCACCCTTAGACCGTCTACAGCAACACAAAAAGATCAGGAGAATAATGAGAATGACTCCAATAACTGGTCCAACGATCAGCAGCACAGGAAGTGAAGAGCTGACAGGACTGGTGAGAGG